TCCACAACTATAAGACAATCATCCCTGTTATTTAAAGCAATTCACTAGCATTTCTGCTACAGCAGTATTAGAGAGCTAAGGCAGAAAAGTGGTCACCAAAACAGGTAGAACGGGGGTGTGGGGTGTGTGTGTGGGGGGCAACATGGTGACCAGCAAGGAGCCCTCGAACTGGGTGATGAAGTCTCATCTCTGTCACTCACCAGCTTGGGTGGCTCACGGCCACCCTTCTTTCCCTCTCTGCCACAAAGCGGTTGGAGCAGAGAGTTCTAGAGTCCCCACAAATGCTGCACAATCAGATTGCCTCACTAAGAGGAGGGTGGTGGTGCGGCCGCAGCAGCCATATCAAGAAGGGCAGGAGAACAGTTTTCAAAGGACCAGAGCTGCGGCCTCCTTCAGCCAACCAACCCTCCCACCCCTGCACCCCAGAGAAAGGGAAGGGGAAGAAGTGGCAGAGCGCACATGGCAAATGAACGAATGCTACAATGGGCCCTTTCAGCGCAGCCCCTGGGAACCAGCAAGGCTGGGCAGTGCAGCCTCGGACCAATAGACTCAGCATGCCCCGGGGACTCCTCAGAACCCTGTCCTTGGCCCAACTCTAGGCTTGCTGGGCACTCATCTTGGGGGCCAGTCTCAGGACCCACAACCTGTCTTTGAAGAAGCTCCCTCAGATGATGCTCCGACCTGCTGAAACTTTAGAAACACCTGCCGCAGGCCCCCCTCCAAGGGCCGAGACAGGCCCCGCTGCCAGGGTGAGCCTTTACAGAGTGAGCGAGCACGCCAGGTGGGAGTGGTGTCCAGGAGGCGGCAGGCCATACCTTGCTCTCCGCTTCTTTACCCGACGCTCATGGTCCGCTTCTTCGTAATACAGCTCGTTGTGGCTCGAATCCCTGCGCCGAGCTGCGGCAGCAATCATGGCCCGGGATTGCCCGGTGGCATTGTTGCTGGGGCCTTTGGGGAGGACAGGGGAGGAAGAACAGTATGAATGCCGCACAGACGAGTATTGGAGGCTGTCAATCCCCACCGTCACCCCCATGAAGCGTCCAACGTACACACGCACGCACGCACGCACATACCAGACGAGTATTGGAGGCTGTCAATCCCCATCATCACCCCCATGAAGCGTCCAACGCACGCACGCACGCACCACGGACGAGTATTGGAGGCTGTCCATCCCCATCGTCACCCCCATGAAGCGTCCAACACACGCACACGCACGCACGCATGCACGCACCACAGACTAGTATTGGAAGCTGTCAATCCCCAT